TTCAACAAAATAAAAATTGCTCCTACAGATAGTTTTTTTTTTTTTAAATGTTAATAAATTGACATTTGTTAATAAATATTTTATTTTCCCCATTACAAAGCAAATGATGAAGGATGACGATCAAGTTCTTGCTAGGAAGCTGTTGCATCTCTATCAAGACATCCACAGGGTTCGCCTGTCACGGTCATGTCAGGTAATTAGGACAGGGCGGTATCAGAAGGGGAGGATGGTCTCAGAAGGGGAGGATGGTATCGGAAGAAGAGGATGGTCTCAGAAGGGGAGGATGGTCTCAGAAGGGGAGGATGGTATCAGAAGGGGAGGATGGTATCAGGAGGGGAGGATGGTATCAGAAGGGGAGGATGGTATCAGAAGGGGAGGATGGAATCCGTGCGGCCTATCCCACACATGTGTATAAATCATCAACAGGAATACACCAGGCCCCTTATTTCTTATCTAACCGAGTCAAGTTATGTATAGACAATTTTTTGCGTCTCTCCAGTTTTTCAGTTTCAGGCTTTCGGGTTGGTTTTTTTTTGGTGTGGGGGGGGGGGCAGCGTAAAATTTTAACATAATGATGCCCTGAAGTCGTCGCCTCCGCCATACATACACCTACTTTATTTCCCGTTGTGAGGTTCCCTGAGGGTATGCTTTTGTCCCCAGCTTAGCTTAGCCCCTGTCCAACTATTTCTAAAAACAACTTTTGCCAATTCTTGAAACTATTTTTAATTATAAACGGGTGCCTATACAGTCCCTTTGCTCAGAGAGGGTCAGAAGCCGAAGGCTCCAGAACGAAACTGGGGTTTGGAGAGGGACTATGAGTCACGGCCGATAATTTTTTAAAAATTAATTCAAAATGCCCCTCCCCCACCCCAAGACCGTATAATCTAAATAAAACTAAATATGGATCTTTTTATTGCTTAAGATATAGACATTGTAGTGCACAACACATGTATTACATTCAATGAACTTTCCAATCCCAATCAATTTTAAAACAAACAATTAGAAACTGTGAAAAGGTTTAAATATTATTGTCAATTGCAAGATATTTTTTCAGCATAATAATAATAATAATAATAATAAAGTTAATTTCAAAAACACGCTTCATCCCCAAAGGCTCGAAGCGCGGTACAAAGTCAACAAAAAACAAATCTATAATTTACCACATTTAAAACAAACGCAACACTAAAAAAACTAATTACAAGCATACAATGCCAAGTCTTTCAACCCATTTCAACCGTGAGCAACACAGCTAATATGCATTAAATGGAAAATATGGTAGACAATCATAATGTTGAGGCCACATGTTCATCTTTTGCAATAGTATATTGTGACTGATTAATTTATCATTGTTATACTAGTAGGACTAATAGGAAATTGTGACTGATGAATTTATCATTGTCCTGCTAGTGGGACTAATAGGACATTGTGACTGATTAATTTATCATTGTTATAGTAGTTTTTTTATTTAGTTTTTCATATTTTAAAGGAAAATAAATATATTTAAGAAACACTCTAAATATAAAAAAAAAATTCCAGGAACATCGGGAGCATCTGGACGAAATTCGATCTGACCTGGAGGAATCCAACGAATTCTCCAACGTCCTTGACCTCCCTAGGACATGCCTGCTGGACGGCCCACTCAAGCATTTAGGGGTCACCCGTTTGAATATCAACGCCAGGAGGTTTTCCACTTGCTAAGTTGATATTTATTGCTGTGTAAAAAAAATTCATTCTGATAATTTTCAACAGGTGGTAATATTGTGGGTGTTGTATCTTCTGGTGTTTGGACAAACCTTCACATACCTTCAAGTACCATGCCGCATACCTTCAAGTACCATGCCGCATACCTTCAAGTACCATGCCGCATACCTTCAAGTACCATGCCGCAGAGTCTGTTAGCTAAGTGCCTCAATCCCCCTCCCAACATCCCGTTAAAAAAGGCATAAAAACATGTCTAGTTGCATACTGTGGATGCTGATTGAACAATTCCTTCTGTCCCCCGTATTGTTTTCAATTCCTTTAAGCCAACCTCCATTCCGTGTCTAGGGCCGATAGGTTTATCAGAAGATGTTTGTTGACATGACACGCTTCGGGCTATTCGGGAACAACATGAGTGATAATGTTAATGTTAGCGAGCTAGTCAGTTATCAACGTTAATGTTACAGAGCTAGTCACTTATCAATGGAAAATATTACAGAGCTAGTCACTTATCAATGTAAATATTACAGAGTTAGTCCCTTATTCATGTAAATATTACAGAGCTAGTCATTTATCAATGTAAATATTACAGAGCTAGTCATTTATCAATGTAAATATTACAGAACTAGTCATTTATCAATGTAAATATTACAGAACTAGTCACTTATGAATGTAAATGTTACAGAGCTAGTCCCTTATCAAAGTAAATATTACAGAGCTAGTCATGTATCAATGTAAATATTACAGAGATAGTCACTTATCATTAACAACAATTATTCTTGTTTTTATGGTTACGTTTGACTCGGAGATGTTAAAATGCAATACAATTTTGTCAATTTTTCAAATCTCTGATTTAATCATTTTTTTGTCTAGTGAGTGTATAATGAAATCGATTATTTTGTTGTCAGAAATGGCGGGCGGGCAAGGGTGGACCTCTGGAAAATCCTTGCCCAGCACCACAAGCCTCTCGGTGGTGTTACACGGGATCTTGCCTCTTCGTGGCGTGCCCGACTAGAAGGGGGGAGTTTTCCTTCTGAAGCTAAAAGATCCCAGGCAAAACGCATGACTTCCAACGCAACGGAAGTTGAGCGCTAACACGATTACTAGTTACCGTTGATGGGTATGAGGCAATGGGTGGCCGCCCAAACCCTTGCCGATGATTAAAAAGTCGCGGCCCCGAGAAAGCCGCCCCTAGGCGACCGTTTCGTCCCCGCTATGTCCCGACCGGACAGCTCCCTGGGCGGTGGGGAGTGGTAACGCAACACCACCTCTCCGGAGAGGAAGTAAAGCCGCCCTGACCCATAGGAGAGTGGACTACGGACGCTTTAAACGCAGCGCCCTCGGTCTGCCGGACGTCCCTTAGGCCAGTAAGGGAAGTTCCCAGCGAGCTTCCGCACGGTCTGGGGCTTCAAGGGAGGCCTTGGCCCGTTTGGGGGAGTGCCGGGGGGGTATTATGAGTGCGAACTCGACGACCCACCGACACCATCTCCAAAGTAACGTTGTCTGAAATGGAAAAGAAAAGGAGACAATTTATTGTTAGAATTTGTACGTCTTTATACGATTACTTCTCTTAGAACTTTAAGGGAACTTATCCCCTTGGTCAACATCTCAGGATGAATAACTCTGGATCGAGTATCTGAACGGTGCCTTGGGTCCAAAAAAAAAAAAAGGATTTATCTTCTTTATTTTTATTTATGGTTCGTCCGTCGAGGATCGACGAGGACCATCGAGTCGTCTGGTGACTGATGACTTGCGCTGATGACTTAGTTTAAAGTGAAGAAGAGTTGCGCGGCGTCTACCTCACTCTCTCGTCCGAGCCCACCATATCCAGTGACAAGACTCTACGTCAAGACGACCAGGGATGGGTTCGGTTGCAGGAATTGTCATTGTTTGCGCCTTACGGGACTCCAAC